CGGGTCATTTTAGACCCATGTTGTGCATTAAGTGGTTTTCATAGCTTGTGCATCGAAGGATGAAATGTGTTTACTTTTATTTGCAGCATTCAACCTTGGAAAACAAAACTGACAAATCAATCAACTTAACAGCAGATTTAAAATGTTATATGATATTGTCAGAGATATGTACTGCACTTTTGATATTTTTTCTTTTTGGTTGAACAGAATAATATTTTTATCTGGACAATGTTTTTTTTTTTAATTTGGCTGGAATAAAAGCAGTTTTTAAGAGCAAATCATTTATTCTTTATTTTTAAGGTCAATATTATTAGCCCCTTTAAACAATTGTTTTAATTGGTAACCGAATAATCCAATATTGTTCAATGACTTGCCTAATTAAACTAGCCTAGTTAGTGATAGCAAATAAATGGTATGTTAAATAGTATAAATAATATGCTAAAATAAATGTATATAAATAAATTTGTTGTTTAAAATTTGTTATTTAAACTATTATGTTTAAAAATATTTAGAAAAAAACTCTTCATTAAACAGCACCTGGGAAATATTTGAAAAAGTATGCTAATTTGACAGAAAGACACACATAGGTTAATTATGTTAATTTCACACATAGGAATAATAACAATATATTTAAAAAAAGACTAATTTTAAGCATCAATAAGTCCCATCAATACTGAGGCATGGTCTTAAAAACTACATGATCTATGTGAGAAAGAGCACTGATCGATATTAGAGAACAATAATTAGATAACAACAATAAGAGGGAGGCTCTTATTTGTTGGAGTAAATCTCAGCAGCTAAACCCTCAACTGACAGCCCAACTTTCCAGTTTTCATTGAGTGTGCAAAAATTCTGAGCCTTTCTAAAGTGACTCAATCCCTCCGTCAGCAGACTGACCAGATGAAGTCCAAAGGGATGATCCTTTCTGCCACAGCAAGAGAAGATGATTGTTCCAAATCAATTTTTTTTCTAGAATATTGCCTCTATACAATGTCAATAAGTCATTCAAGTCCACAAAAGACAAATGCACATGAGGACAAGATAATGGAGGGAATCTCGATTGGTAATTGATTCAACACTGAAGCTGGAATGTCTCTCCAGTTCAGCTCTGAACCGGTTAAGAATCTCAACTCGAAGTATGTAAAGATGTCAGTAAAGTGAAGGTTAAGTGTCACGGTTTAGTGGATGTTTTCTACGACTGAAGTTTGGGACTTATGCAGCTACAAGTACAACTGCAGTGAATGCAAATGCTTATAGGAGCATTGAGTCAGGTATAGACAGCCTCAAAATGGGTGGTACAAATGTTCTGGAGCTTTTGATTGATTGATTTAAAGTCTTGTATATGATGCAGTGTACAACTTTTGTGTTTCATAAAAGTCACACCAACCCCAACCCTAAATTTACCCCTTACAAAAACCTATTGTGTTTTATTAGCATCTACACCTACTTCAATTTTAAACCCCTTATTTAGTAATGAAAGAATTATAATAATTCATAATTGTATTATGTATAATAATAATTATTGTGCAGTATCACCAAAATTATACTGTAATTATGTGCATATGCATATCTGTAACCTATTGAAACTTGACCCAATTTCCTCTCTTCTAAGGCTGCAGTGATATATATATATATATATATATATATATATATACTTGGCAGCATCATCCCCATGTTCATTGCCCAATCAGTCAATTTTCATGCTGCCACAATGCAAAATGTGTAAGGCAGTTTTTAAAAGCTGAAACAAGGAAAAACGAAATGGCAAACCCAGAGTCCAGATATAAACCTGACTAAATATCATGTGACGAAGTCCTCATTAGCCCATTACTGTGACATAACTGTTGGATAGACAGTAAGACGAGTGGATCAAGATCATAGCAGAGCATTGTATTAGACTAGTCTAGTGGTTTTCATTCCTTAGTGCTGGAAAGCACCTCTCTGCACTATTTGTTTGTCTCTGTTATCTGATATACAACGTCAATGATGGAACTCTCCACTACATAGCCGGCAGGTATAGCTCTCTGCAGCTTTCAGATGGTCACCCAATGAAGATAAACAGGTCTGTGCCTGTTCAGTTCTTGGATGGGAGATCACATTTGCTGCCAGAAAAGGTGTTTTGTAAGGACAGCAGGGGTTGCTCAACCTGCAGTTTTTGTGGGTCTAAATGCCCCAGTATAACATACATAGTTTTGGTATGTGCTTGTTAAGTGGTGACGTGTTGGTGACGTGTGTAATACAGTTTCCTGGTCCAAGCCGCCACTCATTTGAGTTGAGAAATTTTTTTTATTTATGATCACTTTTAATTCAAATCAGACATTAAAGTTAATTTTATATAAAGTCATAGTCTACACAACAATTTCTGAGCTTGCTGCATAACAAATACCAACATTTTAACAATTTATAAAAATAATAAATTACTTGCTGGCCATTGGATATTAGGCATGGACATATATATTGCGATAGTCATTTTTGAAAGTATTAAATAGCTTTGTAAACGTTTATATTTACCATTTCATGAGTCTCCCCTACAGTTGTATAGAGCGCTTGGACCTTGAAGCCACTTTGCGTTTTTGCCACTTTTGCACAACTCTCACAAGGTCGCCCAATGAAGCTAAGCAGGGCTGCGCCTAGTAAGTACTTGGATTGGAGACCACATGGGATAGCTAGGTTGCTGCTAGAAGTGGTGTTAGTGAGACCAGCAGGGTGTGCCCATCCTGCAATCTGTGTGGGTCCTAATGCCCCGGTATAGTGACATGAACTCTATACTGCTTAGTGAGTGCAGTCTTTCAGATGAGAAATTAAAAACCAGGGTCTTGACTCTTGGTAAACAGTAAAAAGGTTGGTAAAAAAGTAAGGGTTTGACGCTATCATCCTGGCTAAATTTGCCCACTAGCCTCTGTTGATCATGGCTCCTTACCATTTCCATACAAGATTTGGCTTCATCACTCTGTCTCCTCTCCACCAATCAGCTGGTGTGTGGTGTGCAGTTTGGCCCGATATGGCTGCCATTGTGTTATCCAGATGGATGCTTCACACTGGTAGTGGATGAGGAGATTACCCCAATGTGTAAAGCACTTTGACTGTACAGAAAAGTGCTAAATAAATGTAAGGAAATATTATTATTATTATTATTATTATTATTATTATTATTATTATTATTATTATTATTATTTTGATAGAGACTCTAAATGTCAGTGAGCACAATGAGCAGTAAGCACCTTCAGATGAGGTGCTAAACAGAAGTCTTAACTTTCTGAGATCATGAAAAATCCCAGACTGTCCTTCAAAAAGAGTAGGGGTGTCACCGTAGAAAATTGGCCTTATTTGCCTGCTGGCTTCTGTCCATCACAGCTTCCTAATTATCCCCATATTATAATTGACATCATCACTCTGCTGATGCTATGCAGTCTGGTGGGAAATGGCTGGCATCATGATATCCAGGTAAATGATGGACACTGGTGGTGGAGGATGAATCAAATCAACCCAAATCTGCAACATAGGCTCATTCTGATCTACGTATGGCTGCATTTTGTTTTTAAAATGAACACTATGTGGTGGTATGACGCCATTCTTTTTTGCGCTTACCAGCTGACCTCTTAATTCTGTATGGACAGCTTTCCCACTGTTACTAGTTTGTCCAGTTAGCTCACCATGTACGTTGGCTTACTTGAGATACAGAGAGGAGTTGACCAAGATGACAGGGTTTGAGTCCAGTGAAGAATGGTTCCAGAAAGCAGATAAGACAAAAACAGAATCCAAAATTAAATAAACAAGTAAATATCAGGGTGAGAATGTGGTAAAATCTGAAAATGTGTTAATAAGATGAGGATTTTCTTTGTCTGGACTGCTTTTTAAAACTGTTGGTTGAGTTTAGGGAAGTGGGTGGGCGGGTCAATCTTTGCTTTTGAAAACACTTAGTCAGTCAGTCAGTCAGTCAGTCAGTCAGTCGACAGCAGCCTCTGGTAGATTTGTGAAAACAAAAACTGCAAAAAAAAAATAAATAAATAAATAAAAAAATTTACATTATGGGACACATTTGCCGCTCTCCAGAAATGTATATAGAGGTATGTTTTCAGAATGAGCCTGGATTGCAAATCTATAAAGTGATTTGAGTGTTCATATAAGTGATTTATAAATGTAATGAATTATAAATTATTATTAATATTAAGCCAATACTCTAAATCAGGTAAGTATGACATGCAAAATGTCCAAGTGGACCGGATTAAGAACAACTAGTTATCCTGTCACTGCAGATCTACATGAATCAAAGTAAAGTATTGTTTAAATGTCAACTCTGTGTATTACGTGCGTTAATAATAATAATAATAATAATAATAATAATAATAATAATAATAATAATAATAATAAACGTCCAAAGTTCATCTTTAGTTTCTGGGAAATACGCACTGTCAAGCTATTTAAACGTACTTTTTCCTTTCGGAATTTTAAATGAGAACACACTGCTTAATTATTTATACAGTTTATACATAAAAACATAATAAAATAGTGCACAAGCACCCTCTCCATGGGAGTGGGTAGAGCTAAATATCCATTTTGGGGCATATGTTTCACTAAACACATAAGACAGAATTTTCTACTAGTCATTCTAGACAGATTCTAGATGTTTACATTTACTTTAATTATACATTTTTAAAATGATTTTATACAAACAAATGCCTTTTAGAAAATATTAATAGTAAACAAGACCTCTTTTGATCACTACTATACATTTAGTGTGCTTTATTACAAACTTTTGTGATTCATTAAAATAATTTGTGTGATTCACAAAACAAATAATTTATATACAAAAATTAAACATGCTTTTAAATCATCATCACTACCGCATTTTTGTTTTATTTTTTTTTATGAAAAACATTTGGTTGAACATGTTTATATATATATATATATATATATATATATATATATATATATACAAATTAGTGCCAACAATATTGTAATTCTAAATAACTAAACTTGACCCCTTCTGACCTGTAAATGCATAATACTCAAAAGGGGTCTAATGGAAAGTAATAAGTGATAAACAAAAGGAGAGGGGCCGCTAAAAATGAAAGATGTGCTTTTCCCATGTCCATGTAAGAGGATGGGTGAGTAAGGCTGGGGAATTGGTGTCTCGGTGACGTGCGCACAGGCAATATTTTATTGCAGAGGCAGAACAGTTCTTCTCCACCTAGCGCGCGCTCAAAACGCACGAAGAGCACCTGCTGATGAAAACATGAATCTGTGAGCGCTGTCAGTACGAGAAATCAAAAGGATTATCGATATCATCATAAACTTTAACAGGTTAACATGAAAAAAGTATGAAAAGAATATTAATTTTGTGATGCGCGTAAATGAGCACATTCTACTTAAACCCCGTTGCTGATGCTGCTGCTGCTGGACTCCAGTAAACTTTACAGGATTTTCAGCCTCCTCTGAAAAATCAATAACCCAAGGAAATTAACTGCAGAAGACTTCCTTTTCACGACGAAGCATCAAAATAAGCTCACGCTGAAGATGGGCACCCAAAACAACAGTGATTTGGACAGACCTAGAAGCAACATAGACTTAGAAGCACCTGAAAAAAACCTATTTGGCATCGGCACAGACAACTTAGTCACGCTTCTGATTTTCGGACTCATATTTACTCTTGGCGTCCTTGGAAACTCTCTGGTGATCACCGTTCTGGCTCAACGCAAACCCGGACAGCAACGAAGCACCACCAACATCTTCATCCTCAACCTCAGCGTGGCAGATCTGTCCTACCTGCTCTTCTGCATCCCTTTTCAGTCCACAGTCTACATGTTGCCCACATGGATCTTGGGCGCCTTTATTTGCAAGTTCATCCATTACTTTTTCACCGTGTCCATGCTCGTAAGCATCTTCACCTTATCAGCCATGTCGGTGGACAGGTACATCGCCATAGTGCATTGCAGAAAGTCTTCGTCCATTCGAGTTGCGAGGCATGCGCTGATCGGGGTGCTGGTCATATGGGTGCTCTCTTTCGCCATGGCCACTCCGGTCGCCTACTATCAGGGCATCGTGGAAAGTGAGGACAACAGCACGTTTTGCTGGGAAGTGTGGCCAGATCACGACAGGAGAAAAATCTATGTGGTCTGCACTTTTGTTTTTGGATATGTGCTGCCGCTGATTCTGATTTCTTTCTGTTATGCCAAGGTTGGTGGATTGCCTTTAATTGTAGCTCGATAATGTAAAGTTTTGATCCTTATTCATGCAAAATATGGATAGTTTATAGTCTATTAAACAAGTCACTGGAAAAAAAAAGATGCTTAAGTAGGCTAATTGAGAAGCAGGAATCCTTTTTTGCCGAGCTCCTAAAAATAATCTTTGTACTTGTTTACATATTTACATTATATTTTATAGGATTTTCTTTCGATAAAAGTTTCAAGAATCTGTTAAGTTATGTTTTATGTTCATTTTATTCCACTGTTTTATTTGACCTGAACAAAATGTCTTCTAGGTCCTGTTTATTTGATGCCTTTATCACATAGCAACAAAATGTAATCCTGCATTAATATTTTAACTCATATGAATATGTATTATTAAAAATAAATTAATAATAATAATAACAATAATAATAATAATAATAATAGAGTTTCCCAGCTTGCAGCTGAAAGGAATTTGCTGTGTAAAACCTTTTTCTAGATAAGTTGGGGTTAATTCCACTGTGGCGACCCCTGATGAATAAAGGGACTAAGCCAAAGAAAAATAAATTAATAAAAAAAAAATAATAATAATAATAATAATAATAATAATAATAATCATAATCATCATAATAATACAATTATAGTTTAAACTATTTTGATCTATTGTTATTTAAAAAAACAAAATCACTTTTTTATGTACACTTTTAACATTTTATATGAAAAATGCAATACTTTTTCTTAAACGAGAGGGAGAGAGAGAGAGAGAGGGAGAGAGATAGAATTGTGTGCAAATAATTGTAGGCTAGCAGTATCTACCTTATTTTTAACATAAGAGTGGGCGTATCCATTTTGTATACAAGACTTCTGGTGTCACTCCTTTCATTTATGTTAACACAAAGCAGCTCATTTTATTGCCTGATATTGCAAAAAAAATATATATATGCCTTTTTACAATATTATAATATATTGTCATAAACGCAAATTGATTTCTAGTATGAAGAGTTTTACAATTTATTACACCTTTATTTTTTTATTGCAGCCCTAATAAACCAGAAGTCTCACACACATTTTACAGAAAATAGTTCATTTCTGCATCACAAATTATAATGTGAATATTAAGAAACCTTTGCCCCATTTCATTTTTATTTCAAACCATTATGTGCCTATTTGTTCTCAGGTCCTCAATCATTTACATAAAAAGTTAAGAAACGTCTCCAAAAAGTCAGAGGCCTCAAAAAAGAAGGTAAGAAAAGTTAAATGTATTTGTTTCAGATATGTTTAATTACAAATTTATTTTGTTATATATTTATATACAGCTGGGAAAATAAGCATTGAACAAACTTTAGTGATTTAGTCAACATTTTTCTCAGAAATCATATCTCTAAAGCTGCTGTTGACTTAAATTGTTCCCTGGATAATGGTAACAAGCAAATAAATCCATACATGCAAAGAAAACAAACCTATTTAGTTGACAAATTAAGTTATGCGTAATAAAATTAAATGAAAAAGTATTGAATGCATGAAGAAAGGGAGAAGTAGAATGGAAGTAAAAGCCCTGACAGCAGCAGAAATCCCTCAGTAGTTTTTCAGCAACCCTCTGCCCTTCAATCCAACATCTACATTACCAGGATGATGAAGATGAAACCAGAGTGGACATTTCATTGTTACAAAATGTAAATAATTTATCAGATTTTTTTATTTTGTTTTATTTTTATGTTTATATTATTTGGGTTTTTACCAAAATCTTGTTCAATTCCATGCCAACAGCTCCTTTAGAAAAAAATATTCCCTGGAAAATACAAGACATGTTTAATACTTATTTTCGCTGCTGTATATTTACATTTTAATATTAATTGTTGATCCATATATAATGTTGTTAATAACCAAAAGAGATCAGTAAAAACTTGTTCCTCCCTCTCTTTTTTAGACAGCTCAGACTGTTCTGGTGGTGGTGGTGGTGTTCTGCCTGTCCTGGCTGCCTCATCACGTGGTGCACCTGTGGGTTGAGTTTGGCTCCTTTCCCCTGAACCAGGCATCATTTGTGCTTCGCGTGGCGGCTCATTGTCTGGCTTACAGCAACTCGTCTGTTAATCCAGTTATTTATGCGTTCCTATCAGAGAACTTCAGGCAGGCCTATAAGCAGGTGTTTCGCTGTCAGGTGGCTTCTGAGTGCCCTACAAATGAAGCCAGAGAAATGAAGAGCAAGACAGAGGCAGCACCATCCACCAACTGCACCACTGTGTAATCCATATACACTATAATTCTCGATGGCTTTAAGTCTTCAGTAGAAGGCAAAGGGGTAGTTCCATGTAAAATTATACTTTAAATGATAAACATGGTTATGTTTTAATTGGTATGATCTTGAAGGATTGGGCGGTTGACTTTTAAGGGCTTTTGTCATCATAAAAAGAGCATTTGCTGTGTGCTTCAGTCTTGATGATGCATTTTCTCAGAGCGCAATCGAGACCTTACTTGGTACTTGCTGTGAAGCTGTAGTGATGTATGGCCTGTAAATATGTGCAATCAAAAAAAGTGTGGGAGTAAGAGTGAGTTTATGGGGTATGTTTTTTTTTTTTTTTTTGCTTCAGGGAAAACAGGAAATATAATCAATCTTGAGCCATGTTATAATAGAAAAATGCTGTATTATTAAATTATAATTGGAACATTTTGTTTATATACGTTGTTTTAAGTAATCTATTTACAATTTGTGCTGTTGTGTGTGTTTATTCACCCGTTTCGAATGCTGTCACTTGATTGAATGTGCGTTAAAAGTTTTTATCAGCTGATAGATATTGGCTTGCAGGGGCCTTCTGTGCCTACTGTCATCCATCCACATGGTTAATCAGCTATACTAATAGAGAAGACTCCAGATACAGATCTGTTTTTACATTACTGTGATGGTCGGGTTTAGGGTTGGGGAAGGGGTAGACATTAACAAAATACAATTAATGGGAAATGTAATAAATAATATAAATAATTCTCGTTAAATTCCAGGTGCAGCCATATGTTATCTATAGCTTTTTAATGTGGATGGATGATAACAGCCATCTGAGCCTACTAGTTGGTGCAGAAGGCCCCTACTGGCCCAGATAACCACTGATAACATCCATTCAATCGAGTGATAACTTTCAAATCAACTGGCTTATTAGTTTCTCAGCCAATACCGGTATATTATTATTAAGTGATATCCATAAATAGTTTATCAAAATGATTAACCCCTTCTGTGTTTTTTTTTTTTCCTTTTTCAAATATTTTGTTTTAAAAATTACTTTTAATAGAGCAGGGATTTTTTTACAGTATTCCGATAATATTATTTTTTCAACTAGAATAAATAAGTTTATATATATATATATATATATATATATATATATATATATAATTTATGCCTAATTAATCTAGTTAAGCCTTTAAATTGCATCTTAAATGGAATACTATCCTAAAAAATATTTTGTAGAATATTATGTACTGCCAACATGGCAAAAAATTAAGATTTTGAGATGAAGAAATGAGTTTTCAAAACTATAAAGTTTAAAAATGTCTTAAAAATGTATTTAATTATATATATATATATATATATATATATATATATATATATATATATATATATATATATATATATATATATTTTTTTTTTTTTTTTTTTTTTTTTTTTTTTTTTTTTTATCTGTGTTAAAGAGACATTGGCAAAAATATATACAATATATAGAGGGGGGGGGAGGGAATAATAATTCTGATTCTAACTGTATATACTGATAGTTTAGGGGTTCTATCTTTTATTCCTTTAAAAAAATGACAATTATATCCATAATTTTAAAAGAAATGCACATAACGCTTCAAACACATCTTAAAGGAACAAAAATTTAAACATAATTTTAAGTAAATCAATTCTACATTTACTTTAACTCAGGGTCATCCTAAACCCCAAGTAAATAGAATCCTGGGTTACCATGTTTCACTGCACCCGCTTTGAATATTATCACTCGATTGAATGGGCGTTCCTCATTCTTAATCAGCTATACTAATAAGACTCCAGATCCAGATCTGTTTTACATTTATGTGACGATTGGGTTTAGAGTTGGCTTAGGGATAGATGTTAAAAAAAATACAGTCAATGGGACATTTATTAAACAATATAAATAATTCTTGTTAACTTCCAGCCACAGCCAGTTGTAATCTATAGGTAGTTTATCATGTGGATGGATGATAACAGGCTTCTGAGCCTACTAGTAAACACAGAAGGCCCCTACTGGCCCATATCTATCGGCTGATGACCACTGATAATAGCCATTCAATGGAGTGATAATAATCAAGTCGGCTGGTTTATTAGTTTCTCATCTAATAGTAATTTATTATTCTTCAGAGTTATATCCACCAATAGTTTGTCAAAATTATTAACGCTTCAAATATTTCCCAAATTATGTTTTACATACAGGAATTTTTCAGTTAAATTTTTTTTCTTCTGAAGAAAGTCTTATTTGTTTAAATTCAGCTTTTTAGTTTAACTCAGTTTTAAATCTTTCTAAAACCGTTTTTAAGGTCAATATTATTAGCCCCCTTAAGCTATATATGTTTTTTTTTCTGTTGTCTACAAAACAAACTATCGTTATTCAATGATTTGCCTAATTGCTTTAACTTGCCTAACTAATCTTTTTAAGCCTTTAAATTGCATTTTAAACTGATTATATCTTGAAAAATATCTAGCAAAATATTGTATACTGTCATCGTACGAAGATAAAGTCTTGAAAAAAATCTTCTCTCCGTTAAAGGGGAAAATATATATGCAGGAGGGCTAATAATTTCAAGTAGTATATATTGATAGTTCAGGGGTTTTATAATGGACTCCTTTTTTTTTAATAATAATAATAATATCCAGAATTTTAAAAGACATAAAACGCATCTTAAAATTCTGTATTTACTTTTTAGGACTTTTCACACTTGAAATCGATAACTCTGGGCCATCTTAAACCCCAAATAAATGGAATTCATGGGTATTTGTAATCACGTTTCAGGCTCATTCTGTTTACGCACCCCTATATACATTTCTTGAGAGGGAAAAATAAGTCGCCTGATTTTTACCAAATTTTCAGATTTTACCACATTCTCACTCTGTTGTTTAATTGTTTATTTTATTTTTTAGATTTTGTTGTTGTTTTACCTGATTTTTGGAACGGTCTCAAGTCTGCCGACCCACATGTTGAGCTATACCAACCAAACTAGTAACAGCGGAAAAGCCGTTCATATGGAGGTAAGTGGTCAGCCGGTAAGCGAGAAAAAGAATGGTGTCATACCGCCCCGTAGTATTTGTTTTAAAGATGAAATGCAGCCATTCGTACTTCTGGCTACATAATTCGCAATCTCCAGAAATGTACATAGGGCTACGTTTTCAGAATGAGCCAATGTTGCAACTAACAGATGTTTCATACTGTACATTCCTTAACCCTGGGTTAAAATTCTTATTTGCATATTTGTGGTGTCATTGTTGCTGATTGGATGAAAAGCAGGCAGCAGTTTTTGGAAATGTCTTAAGTTTGAAGAACTTCATGTTACTCCTGATATTTACAACACATTTTGTTTTGTGACATGATGTACTCCTCACTGCTTAATTTCTGATTGGCTGTTTCTGTTGCCAAGCATCCAGCAGCAAGAACCAAACACTTCTCTTTTAATGTATTTACTAACATGACTAATCATGAACAATATTCATAACTAATACATTACTCGGCAAAACGGTGGCTCAGTGGTTAGCACTGTCGCCTAACAGCAAGAAGGTCACTGGTTCGGGTCCAGGCTGGGCCAGTTGGCATTTCTGTGAGGAGTTTGCATGTTCTCCCCGTGTTCATGTGGGTTTCCTCCAGGTGCTCCAATTTCCCCTACAGTCCAAAGACATGCGGCATAGGTGAATTGAATAAACTAAATTGGCTGTAGTGTATGTGTGTGAATGAGTGTGTATGGATGTTCCCCAGTACTGGGTTGCTGCTGATAGATAGGTCATACGCTGTGTAAAACATATGCTTGATAAGTTAGGAGTTCATTCCACTGTGGTGACCCCTCATGACTTAAAGGGACTAAGCCGCAAAGAAAATGAATGAATGAATAAACAATACTCATGGCTTATACTAATGACTAATCATGAACAATACTAATACAGCTTAGTTCAGCATTTACTAATGCAGCATTAAGTAATGTCTTTACATGCTTATTAACATTACTTAATGAACTAAAAATTTACTTTATTTTCAAAAAGATGATGAAATACTGTAATAAAGTTATTGTTCATTGTATGTTCATGTTATTAAATACATTAATGACTATTAACTCATATAATCTTATTGTAAATTGTCACAGACACAGATTATTGTAAAGTGTTAAGTCTTGGAAATGTTACATATTTACATATTTTGCACATAATGTACCATATCACACATTAAATAATCAATTAATAGTTTTATATTAATATTCTGGCCTATTTTATGTTATATGCAACATTATAAACATTTTTATTTTTAATATAGAGTTTAAGTCAGAATTATTAGACCCCCTTTGATTTATTATTATTTTTTTTTCTGTTTTAAATATTTCCCAAATGATGTTTAACAGCAAGGAAATTTTCACAGTATGTCTGATAATATTTTTTTCTTTTGGTGAAAGTCTTATTTGTTTTATTTTGGCAAGAATAAAACCAGTTTTATTTTTTTTTAAACACAATTTTAAGATAAAAATTATTAGCCCCTTTAAGCTATATATATATATTTTAACAGTCTACAGAATTATCCATCGTTATACAATAACTTGCCTAATTACCCTAACCTGCCTAGTTAATCTAGTTAAGCCTTTAAATGTCACTTTAAGCTGTATAGAAATGTCTTAAAAATATCTAATCAAATATTATTTACTGTCATCATGGCAAAGATCAAATAATTCAGTTGTTAGTGTTTAGTTATTAAAACTATTAGATTTAGAAATGTGTTGAAACAAAATCTTCTCTCCGTTTAACAGAAACTGTGGAAAAATAAACAATGGGGATAATAATTTAGGGGGGCTAATAATTCTGACTTGAACTGTATACACTCAAAATACAGCCGATTTGAATGTTATCACGCGATTGAATGGGCATTATCAGTGGTTATCAGCTGATAGATATGAGCAAGTAGGGGCCTTCTGCTCCAATACTAGTAGGCTCAGACAGCTTATTATGTTATCATCCACGTGGTAATCAGTTATAGATCACATACGACTGCAGACAGAAGTTAACAAGAATTATTTGTATTAATTACTACATTTCCCATTAATTGTATTTTATTAACGTCTACCCCAACCTTAAACCCAACCACCACAGTAATGTTAAAACAGATCTGGATCTGGAGTCTTATTAGTATTAACCATGTGGATAGATGATAACAGCCTTTTGAGCCTGCAGATGCAGAAGGCCCCTACTGGCCTGTATCTATCAGCTGATGACCACTAAAATGCCCATTCAATTGTGATAACATTTGAAGTGTGTGCAAATAATGACTTTTGCGGCATTACTTACTTAAAAATGAGTTAACACAATAAAAAAAGTTTTAATTTAAGAAAGCTTAACTGTTTTATGTTCAATCCACCTAAATTTGTAAAAAAAAAAAAAAAAAAAAAAAAAAAAAAGATTAAGTTAACTTAAACGACT